ATCCTTTATATATATAAATGAGACTTATTAGATATCTAAGAAACTAACATATGCCATATTTATCCGACTTTGTTAAACACCTAATATATCTAAATTATAAACTTTTATCTTCATTTAAAATAAAATTTTAGAATAATAAATAAAATAATCACTTCACATACAAAAATTTTTTTATATTTGTTCACAAGTTGACATGAGATTGGTTTGATTATATTTATTTAAAATTTGACAACTAATAAATAGAATACAATTTTCACCTATGAATAAATTTTATATATTTTTTGACACTTAATATTCTACCTAATTAATTATACAAAAGATGTGAATTCAATATTTTGGCATGAAATCTTTGAGTAAATCTATTTATGGAAGAGAAATATTTGTTCTTATGAGAATATGTTTTTTCCAATTCAATATAGTATTTTTAAGTCTCTTGATTTTTAATAAAACTTTTAATTAATAATAATATGTTTTTTTGACATCTAAATAATATTAATACAAGTATTTATTTATCACATGTTGAAATTAAATTAGCTTTGATTCTATTTATATTAATATTGATGTTAAATTAAAACCAAACAATATATTTTAAAAACTAAATTAAGAAATTCTTTAAAAAAAATAGATATAGCTGGACTATAATTTTGTTAAAATAGAAAAGGCTTTTAAATTATAAATAAAATATTATCTTCACCCACAAATCAAATTTATATTTGTATTTGCTTATGATACATTTAAATTAAGTTAGTTTAATCATATTATTTTAAATTATCACACCTAATAAATAAAAATTTTCTTAACCTATACAGAAATTTCATATTTCTCTAACACATAATATGCCACCTAATATAGAACATAAACGTAAAATCAATGTTTTAATATGAAATATTTGAAAAAATTTTATTATGGTTGAGGAATATTTATTTTTATGATAAAATTCTTTCTTAATTCAATGCTTTTTATTATCTTCATTTATAGTAAAACTTGGAATTAAAGAATTACAAGCTATTTTACCTTTAAATTAATGTCATACAAGTATTTTTATGATATGTTATAATAAAGTTAGTTTTGATTCTATTAATTGGAATATTGATGTGGAGTTTAAAAATATATACGATAAAAACTAAATAAATATATTTATAAAACAAGAGACGAATAGATTATAATTGCTTCTAAATTAAAGAAAAGTACTATACATAATTTCATAGTTCGAATATATTGATTTTATGATTTGATTTTATTACTAGACAATTTATGATTTATTGTTCTTAGATAATTTTTTATTTAAATTCAAAAATATATATTACTTTTAATTATCTATATTATGATATGATATTTGTAATTATATTATAGAATACAATTGATTCAAAAAAGTATACGTGTTAACATGACATACTATATTTACACTAATTTTCTTTTTAATACAATTGGCTATTATGAAATGATATTTGCAATAACATTATAGAATATAATTGACATATTGAACTTGGGGAGTGTATTTAATCCAGACTCTGTAAGATTTTTTTGAATTTTAAAAGTCAATGGGTATTCATTTAATAATTTGATGAAATCAAATAGTATTGTCACTATTCTATGGTACTATTTCCTTCCCTGTGTATTTGTCTAGTTTCGACTTTTTCCGATCAATTATTTTCAACCTTTGACCTATTATTAAATAAAATATATATTGTAAATTAATTAGATAAAATAATATTTTGAAAATATTTGATCTAATAAAGTTTAATTTTGTATCAATATCTAATATCATTTTTATTTAATTTGAAGTCAACGTTTATCAATTTTGACCAGAAAAAGTCAAAAGTGGACAAAGACTCGGGAACGGAGGTCGTAAAATTTTTGAATTAGTGTTCGACTAAACTAAGTTTTATTTATTTATCAATTCTAATTAGATTGAAAAAAAGATTTTTGTTTAAAAATCATAATTTGAAACCGAAACATTATTATGAGAGGGAGGGACTAATAATTTCTTGGATTTGAGCTTCTGACACCAGCGGAGACCATTTTGGAACAAGAAGTAAAATCATCTTTGAACAAAAAAAAACATCCTTTTTCTTTTCTATTGGCACTTTTGACATCCGCTGCCAAAGTTCCTTTTTGGAACAAGAAGTAAAACAATTTCTTTTTGGATTGAAATTTTCCTACTGCGTATGTTAATTTCCAATTTTAAGTTCCTCATTTATTATTATTTTATAATGAGAAGTCCTCAGTTATTGTTTTTGTTCTTAAAATTTCTATTAAAAAAACAAATATACTTGAATGAACATTTTGCAGAATTGAATTTTTCATACTTAGTATGTTAATTTCAGAATTTTAAATTCTTCAATTAATTGCAAATATAAATTATGAACTTTCTCAGATAAGTAGAAAACCTATTCCCCCTGCTCTGCACAAGACTTTTGTTTTAAACTTCTGACAAATTTAAAGAGGGTATATTTTATGCACAGTAGTTAATTTTTCAATCGTCCTTGGATCTGATGCGTAGAATAATAATGATTAAGAGCATTTTCGAAACTGGAAAGAACTGGAAAAAATTAGAAGAACTGGAAGAACTAGAAGAAATTGGAAAGAATTAGAAGAAACTAGAAAGAACTGGAAGAAACTTGAAGAAAGTTGAAAGAACTGGAAAAAAATTAAATGAAACTAAAAAACAAGAAAAATTTAGAAAATGTAAGAAAACTTTAAAAAAATATTTTTTTTTTTATATTATTCTCATTCCAATTCTTGTTGTTAAAAATTATTAATATTGTTATTATTATTATTGTTGTTGTTATTGTTGTTGTTGATGATGTTGTTGTTCTCATTATTATTATTATTATTATTATTATTATTATTATTATTATTGTTGTTGTTGTTGTTGTTGTTGTTGTTGTTGGTCATCACGTTATCTTAATGAATGTCTTTAAGATAAAAAAAATGTTATTTTTCATACACAAAAAAATTACTTTTGCAAAAAAATAATTAGAATATAAAATTAGCATAAATATCAAAATGTTAAATATTTAAAAGTTATTGTGGCTGCGCTGCATGTCACTTTATTTATGCAATATTTATCATAAAATAATATATTTGTAATTATATTTTATACGAAGTTTATACGAAGTATATATTACAAGATTTTGTTTTAAATATCAGACATGTCTCATTATGTAACCAAACTTATTTTTTCTTTAATGATTGATATTTTTTTCATTATAACCCTACTTTTGGAACAAAGACCTAGAACTTTTTTTTTACAATTTTTTATATTTTTTTCATTATAACCCTACGTTCCAAATTATAACGCCTGTTTACTATTCACAGGGTCAAACTTCATTCACTTTCTTTCTCTATTTTCGTTAGCAATTTGATAAAATAAAATATTATTGTCACTACTAATTTTGTAGATCTTTTGATGTAGTTTTTTAATATGTAATTTTTATTTTTTAATTATATACCATTTGTCATATAAAATGGTTTGAAAATAATTTCAGTCAAACATCGTAAATCGAAACAGGCATTATAAAATGCGACGGAGGTAGTAACAATTAATATTCTATAATGCAGTCACGCTTAATTGAAAATACTAAATACATATAATTTTTACAATATGATTCTATTGAAAATGATTAGATTATTTATATTTATATGCACAATTTTTTACATATTAGAGACAATAAAAAAGTAGATCACACAAATGAAAGTATAACTTTTTTGTTAGTTGTATTTTAATCATTAGTGATATTATTTGTTATCTGAATTTATTTTTTTACACTTTTTGGATTGTTTTTTCTTTTTCCAAATGTAGTTCTTTCTTTGTTTTCATAATCTAGAACTCCCACCCTATTTCATTAATACGGAGTATATTTTAGATTAAAATATTGATATTTTCCTTAGATAAATTTAGATTAAAAAAACATTTCATGTAACAATTTTATCCGTAGTTTTTTAAAATAGCTTAAAAGATTGATGTTATCTTCTTTTATCACGTAGATTAATATACCAAAAATGGTACTCCCTCCGTCCTATAATGATCTTCCCAGATAAAATAAAATATTCTTGTCACCACTTGTTTTATTGAACTTTTGGTGTAGTTTTTAAATATGTATGTTTTATTTTTTATTTCTATACCAATATTTAAATAAAATAGATTGAAAAAACTTGAGATTTTTCTTCGTTTTGCGAACCAGGAAGATCATTATAGGACGGAGGGAGTATTATTCATTTCAAAAAGTTGAAAAAAATAATAATCAGAGTAATCATAAAAATAGTGAGTTCAAAAAATGAAATAGTTTATAAACTATAATAATAATAATAATAATAATAATAATAATAATAATAATAATAATAATAATAATAATAATAATAATAATAATAATAATAATAATATAGTTTTTAAAATAATTGGTTGAGAAGTAGAAAGAGTTTAAAAAAATATAAAAATAGTTGGAAGAAATTAAAAAAAACTAAAAGAGACTAGAAAGAACTGAAAAACACTTAAACTGAAGAACATGCTCTAAATGAAACAGTAAGAAACTGAAAAAAACTAGAATTGGAAGAAAGAAACTAGAAGTTAAACAGGCTCTAGATGTGTTGTGATAAGTTGGGTAAAGTTTAGTAGGGTAAAATAGACTTTTTAATGTACAAAATCTTCTCAACAATATGCCAACGATGACAACCACTTGCACACTCATACCATGGTGTTCTGAAGTACAAGACACGAAAATAAAAATGAGAGATATCATATTGATTAAAGATCAATTTGATGTATTCATTAGAATAATGGAGTAATAAGTTTTCTTAAAAATAATGGACAACATGAGTTGGGAATACCCAATAATAGAAGCGGAGACAAGATTCCAACAGAGAAGATAGCACCTTATGAGTAAGTCAGCAAGAAAAGAAACATGTTTTCAGGGCGCAACAAAGAAGGAAGCTTGAGAATGCGTTTTTTGAATTTTTTTCTGGAGAGGATTCCGACGGTTGGAGCAAGGACGAAGAGCCGAAGGGTTTCTTTTTTCTTTTGGAGCATTCTCTGCTTTTCGTTCATCATTCACACTCCAAAAGAAACACAAAGTAAACAATTTCAAGTGGTCGATCCCTTGCCCACCCCCCCCCAACACTAAGGCGGCATTACATTGAAACCTACTTATTAGTTAATTCTTACCGAGTATTATAATCAAATAAGATCTAACCTGATCGCATACAACTTTAATTATAAGTGCAATCAAATCAGACCTTTAAAAAATTAGATGAAGCGAATAGAACAAGCCTAAGTATGGTTCACATTGTGTATGGAGACTTGATCCCTACTTGGTCTCGGTAGATGGTTTCTCCCAAATCACCCTCGGCAAAAAAAGACCAAAATAATCACTATAAAGTATTGATGAAGGACAAATATAAGTCAAGAAAAAAAGCCTAACGCCAGAATAGAAAGCATTCTTAGAAGGTCACAAAGTACATAGTGAAAAAACAGGTTAAAACAAAATGCAATAAGCAGATTCATGAGTGCCAACAACCAGCAGTCTGTAAAAGTAAAAGAATAAAGGGTGTGACACATCACTTGAGAGGGATGAACCTTGAAGAGTGAGTGGCACCAATACCCGGCCTACCGTGCTTGACAGGCTTGTAGGAGATGGAGAACTCCGCCAGATAGTGCCCAATCATCTCTGGCTTCACTTCAATCTGGTTGAATGTCTTGCCATTGTAAACTCCAATTACACTGCCAATCATCTCTGGAACAATAATCATGTTCCTCAAATGAGTCTTTACTAGCTCTGGCTTCTCTCCTGCCCGGGCCTCAAGTTTCTACAAAAAAAATTCGTACAAAACATTTTGCAAATAAGCATTATGGCAAAGGAAAAAATATAAAACCAAATATTCAGTCCCATTAGTGTGATATCACCAAACAGAAAAATATAGGGCGCTCCCCTCACTTTAGCAGTAAGCTTGAAGCTGCAAAGTGGCCATGGAGTCCCAATAATTTAATATACGCCTACCACATCGAAGATGCGCCACAATTAATAACCTATCTCTGTGGAATACCACCCCACCCCTTCTTTTAGGAGGGAAGGGCTCGGCCCTAGGCGCTTTGCCAATCTATATCTCCCACTATATGAATTTAGTTCAGAATGGTTGAAATCAAACAAGAAATAAAACTCCTTTTCTAGTTAATTGGCCTAGAAGTGACCAGCTATGAAAAATGGGGAAAATTACTAATCTGAACAGGACAGTACCCTCCAAATAACTTAAACTGGCATGAGTAGCAAAACAATCATATGCACAAACAGAAATGAGTATGACTTCAAATTACAATTCAGCATCAACAATATTCCTAAATGCAAGTATATAGGTACATATTCATATATCATAACAGTGCTTAATCCATTGTATGCCACAACATTTCAACAAGAAAGAGACCACCAAAAATAATAATTCTCTGAGGAAAACAAAACTCACAATAATGATAAAATAACAGCAGAAGTGCATCCATTGAAGAGTACAGTTTTATATGAATATTGAATCATTAAATTTGCAGTAAAGCATTAAAAAATGACTAGGATTAATACCAAGTGTGAAGGGTCTATGCATCAAAATCACTCAAGCGGGCTGATTACAATTTTCCAACAAAGAAAAAACAGGAAAGACTCATCCAGAGGCATAAACAAAATTATAGACACGATTATTCATCACACATCAAGGAAGAAGAAAGTATAAACATACCGCTTTGCGAAGCTTCTTAATCAAAGCCAAAGGCTTCCTCGTCAAACCCCTTCCGAGCCTATCATTCAACAACAGAACGATTTCGACTCCGGATCAGCATTCATACAACAAAAAGAACAATATTCTTCTGATAATAAAAAACAGAAGGCCAGCAAAATACCTTCTTCGAGCACGGGCGCTGAAGAGCTTGACGAGTTGATCGGTCGGCATGTCAAGGAGTGCATCGAGATCGACGCCTCTGAAACTGAACTTCTTGAACGTCCTCTTCTTCGGCTGCCCGGCCGCCATATCGTGTTCTACGTCCGCCTGCCATCAAAACACACAGATTCATCAGTGAAAACGCATAAGGACGGAGATCGAAGGAAGAAGCCTCGAGATTAGGGTTACCATGGTGATAGAATAGGAAACAAGAAAGACGATGAAATGAAGCTCGGGAGAATTCAGAGGCTGCCGATCCGCTCACAATGTTTGTGAAGGTATATATTGCGGCCTAGGGTTAGGGATTTCTGGATATGAACATTTTTTGGGCCTGGGTTTGTTGGGCCCTGATTTGGAGTTTCATTAGTAACGAGGCCTTTGCTAGTTTTCATACTGCTCGTCCGAAATTTAATATCCAGCTTTCATTTCACGAAAAAAGATTGGGAAAAAAATCATTTTGGAAAAAAATATTGGTAGTCATATATTCCTTTTTTTATAAATGAAAGCTGAAAGTTATATTTCTAATTTTTGAATGCCGGAAATAGAAAGTGTGAGTTTAATTTTGGCATAGAGAAACTATTATCAAATCTAATTGAAATATGTTAGTACCGTATGGGATCGAACTGATAACTTTAGTTGAATACAAATCATGTTGTTCTTTTATGTTTTCGATAAAAGTATTCTATTTTGACCATTCCTCTCATTAAAACAGTTACATAGGCGGTAGGATAACTCAGTTGGTTCTGGAAATGGTAGATTTGCAACAAGACACAAGATCAAGTCCTTGTGGCGTGCAGTGTGAGAGTGATATTCTTGAAGCCAGTTGGGGTTGTAAGAATGGAATCCTTGCATGTTTGTTGGACAAAGCATCGACCTTTAACGGGTCACTGGATCATGACTAGGGATGTAAACAAATCAAATATTTTTAATTCGGTTCGTGATTTGTATTCGAATATAATAATTCGAATTCACATTATTCAAATACAAATTCAAATTCAAATATTAGTTTTGATTCGAATATTAAACAAATACAAATACAAATATGAGTATATTCGATTCGGGTGATATTCGAATATTCGAATATATGTATATGCCCACAAACCATGTTTCAACATCAATAGTCAAGTAAACTAATATACTCCCTTCGTCCCTAAATAGATTATAATTTTTTTTCTCCTCTCGATAACTTTTGTTTGTTTACGCAATTTCATTAAGTACTTGATAAAATAAAATATTCTTGTCACCTCTTGTTTTGTAGAACTTTTGACGTAGTTTTTTAATATGTAATTTTTTTATCTTATTGATATACTCTCTCAGTCCTAAAATGATCTTCCCAGTCACTATTCACATGGTCAAACTGTAATCACTTTTTTACCTATTTTCGTTAGTTATTCGATAAAATAATATAGTCATGTCACCTCTTGTTTTGTAGAACTTTTAATGTAGTTTCATAATATATAATTATTATTTTTTAATTTTATACCTATAATCAAATAAATTGAATTGAAAATAATTTCAGTCAAACCTCGTAAACCGGACTGGGAAGATCATTATAGGACGGAGGGAGTACTAATCTGTAAATAAAATGATTTCAAAAAGTAGGAAATTTTACTCCGTAACCTGTAATCTGTAATCAAATTGGGGACGGAGGGAGTAGTATAAAATGTATTTAAATTACTAAGCTAGAATTCAACAAATTAACGTATCAAGAAAATTTAAAGCATATGATTTTTAGTTATATTTTATAAAATATAATTTGTGTAAGATAAAAATGTATTAATGTTTTTAGATATTGTATAAGAAGTATCATGAGTTAAATTATTCAAAATCTATTTGGTCCATCATATAGATTATGGAGTATAATTATTAAGATATTCGTTTAGGATTCGTTAAGTATTCGAATATTAATCAAATACAAATTCAAATCTTAATTTTAATTCGTCTCATATTCGGATTCGGATTCGTATCCGAAAAAATTAAACAAATACAAATTCAAATATCTCGATATTCGATTCGATTCGATTCGTTTACACCCCTAATCATGACTTTCCTCCCTCTCTCTTCTTGCTAGGTCGGGTGTGGTGACCCTTGGGGTTGGGGATTCATCTTTTTGCAACAAAAAAGTCATACTCCGTACTATACAAATGTACAATTCTTAACTCTTAGTAAAGTATAAAAAATTAGCAAATATTATTTTCTAAAATATTTTTAAAACAAATAAAAGTAAAAATTTACTCCATCCGTCGTAAAAAGAACTTCACTCTTTGACTTTACGTAATTTAAAAATTGTTAAAATTAAAAAAGATGTTTATTTATAAGAAAAAGAACTTTAAACGCCACGTGTTAATTTTCCTTGAAGAAAAAAAAGTGAATTTGAAGATTAAATATGTGAAATTATTTGTAGAACGGAGGAAGTACAAAAATTCCAATGAAAATATGTGTAACTTCATTTATTTGACTTTGTATGGGAATGCAGGAATCTTCATTTAATTTTGATCTCGATATTCTTTATCCTCCATATTTGTTTTGCTAAAACTAGTTTGCTTTGTATATTACGGCCAATCTTGTATTTCAGGAGCATATGAAGCACTTTAATGTTGATTGTCTTCTAAATTACCTTTCATTTGAGGATTAGATTTTTTCAAAAAGAGTGAAGCAATCCTTCAGGGAGAATAAACAAAGGTAAGTGGGATATATCTTCGCACAAAGTGAATTATTTGTCCTTTTAAATTTATATTAGAAATAACTTCTAATCTAGATAACAAACAGTATGACTAAAAATTGGTGCATTAAATACCCCGAAATATATTGTCAATTTATATGCTTCTACGTATAGGGTGCGTTTATGGTGTACTTTGGGTGTATACTATTTTTGTGAACATTCCCACATAAAAAAACTAATTTTTTTCATAAAAAACAAGTAATGCGTAGCCATATCATAAATTTATGTTCCCAAACTCATTGCAAGTAGATTTCCACCGTCCACTAGTAATGTTGTATTACTCGAAAGCTAGCAATGCAATCTCGCACCAACCTCAAGCTTATTATTTCATCGTTTAGAAGTCCGTCTACGATACGCAAAAAGCTATAGTCACACTGAGTATGACACCGGATATAACCCCATAGCGTTTTATATAAACTATCACTCAGACACTTATTGCATGTGCACGCATGTGAGTCACAATGGTCTCATGTGGTGTCATCCTTAATGTGCCTATAGATAGATTCCTTTACCATAAAAGAAGAAAAATGATATAGGAAGTAAAAATACGAATGTGTGGTAAGTTTCTGGCAAGATACTGTCTTTAGAGTCATCACAAATTTTACCACAATCACTTCCCTTCTGTGTTAGAATTATCAGCCTTGGCACTCTCAACCAATGCAGCTCTCTTAAATTCCCGTGCAAAATTTGTAAAAAAAAAAACAGAGTAAAAGAGACCACTATATAGCAAACATAGTGGATATTAAAGATTTAAACAAATGTATACAAAACAAGAAAATTGGGTGGAGAGAGTGGAGAGTGCAATTTCATCATTCATAGTGATATTGAATCTTGTCTTTCCAAGGGCTCACCTAAAAGACACACTTAAGCACATGCAAATATGCAAAATGTTTCAAGAGAAGCACATAAGAAGAAGTACAAAGAATCCCAAAGAGGGTAAGCCAGACATCATAACCCAAATATGGCCTCTCTTTTTTTTGCTTCCCCATTTGTAATGATAAAACTGTGAGCACAGAAAGGTACAATCATTCTTTACAAAAAGTTAGGGGTGATACTTGTGAGTACACTTCAAAGTCCACTAGAAGTTGGGAACATTGTATAGTCATGTATCATGTGATATGGGTAACCTGTATCACCGTTACTCGTTCCATTATATGGATTCGAACCGACCATTTGCCAGTGGTTAGGAATCAACCCATCCCGGGCAGAGTTTTGCAGCCTATGCTCTTGATGTGTGTCCCTGATGCCATTGACGAAGCTTCCAGAATAACCACCATTGCTGAAACTATGAAAGCTCTCACCTTTTTGTTCTGAACCCATCCCAAGACCATGCCCATCATCCAGTAGATCATTGATGATGTCGAGGTGTGGAAATTCATCCGTGAAGCCAGTGGGAGACTGATGATGCCTTGATGGGAGATCATCGCGGGTCCCATTCTCCACGGGCTTGTATGAATCATAATTCCGGGTTTTGTCCCTTTGGGGGGAGCTTTCCATCCACTGGGGTCCACTATGCATCACTCCACCAGTCCCATACGAAAAGCTCAGGCTACTTGAGCTGCTAGGTACAGTCTCTGCAGAACTCCGTAAGAACGGCTGAAGAGCATGTGGTGTTTGAGAGAATGAATTTGAGGTATTATTGACCACTGAGTTAGCAGCAAGAGCGGAGCCCATCATTGCATTTCGATAGGACCGAGGAACAAAACTGCGTGCTGAAAACGGTTGGGTATGGGCTATGGAGGCAACTGGGGTGTGTCCCGCGGTTACGGGAGCACTCAACGGTGGTTTTGATGCAACATGTGAAGTGGGTTTCTCACTTGAAGGCTTTTTCAATATGTCTAAACCACTGGATCTGTGGGAATCACTCTCTGTTACGTAGCGTTCAGAAGACTTCATGGGTTTGAGTAACTTGTCAGTCACATTAGGGATCGGTTTATTGACATGAAGAGAATTGTTCGAATGTGCCGAGCTCTTTAAGGATTTTGACTTAACTTTTGAGAACACCTCCTTGGGAGGAGGAGGAGAGAGCACGCTTGTTCCATTCACCGAAGGTCCGTCAGTGTAAGCTTCATTATGCCCTTTAAGTTGCAAAACCACGACTTCCTATCATGCAGCAATGCAGAGACCAATCATTCTTTAAAAAATGAGCATAAATGTGTAATCAATAAGACAAAGATTTCATCTCATAAATTTCACATATTAAGACTATAGCCATCTCTCAAATGGAATTAACTATTTATCCCATAATTTTCTCTCAAAGGGAATTACCATTTTCATTTGGTTTGGGTGGGATCAGCCAATTCACAAACAGTATATGAATGCAAAGATATTAGCCCGTGTTGTGTGCATATACCATTTTCCTTTGGTTTGGGTGGTCAACCTTTCACTCAAATGAGTGCATGTCCCACCGCACAAGGAGGGATATGAAATCAACCAAGTGTAGAGACATTTTCTTTTTAACACTTAGATTATACTAGTCTCTTTAAGCATGATGCCTGATTTTCACCAATTCTTAGAGAACAAAAGGAAAAAAATGGGAAGGAGAGGGTGAAGACAAACAACCTTCTGAATAGCAGGTTGCTCATGTGAAGAAAGACCAGGTGTATCACTCAGGTGCCCCA